CTTCAATAACAATAATAACAATCGGTGTACTATCTAATATATAAATAAATAATTTGTTTTTTTCCTATTATTATAAATCGATTAACCTGATTTATTTGTCATAGATTCTAATGAAAAATTGTCACCTAAAATTGCTCGTTCAAATTGACTACGAAATTTAATTGCATTTGCATGATTATGTTTAGTTTCATCATCAATAAAAATAAAATGTGTATGATTTGGTTCAGGTGGTGTTTCACCTTTAATATTACTATGTAATTTTGTATAAATAACATTCGTACCTTGAACATCAAGTTGTTCAACATCGGATATACATCCCCAAGAAGCAATACCCTTTATTTTAGATATACAATTTTATTTGAAATATTTTGTTTTTGATAATAACTTACAACTAAATATATAGGTCGAGATGGATCTGGATTTGTTCGAGCTATTTCACCAAAAAATCGAGTTACTCTTGAATTCATTCCAGCACTAACTATCCATATATCTAATGATGAAAATAAATAGTATTTATATAGTTTTATTAAATAAGATCTAACCGGTAGTTTTAGCTATTTTGAGAAGAGCTTCACGAAATATTTGAAATAATTTTGATCTCATATAACCTTCTTTTGTACTTCCCATTACTGATATAATAAGTGGTGGACACTAATAAAGTATTAATTGTAATTTAAACAATAAATACGAACAAATAGATTTACTTTATTATATTTTTGTTCAATAAATAATTCTTTAGTTTTTATAGGACAAGCATCACATGGTATTCGAATAAAACTAGCTGTATTCGAGTAATTTTGAGAAACTAAAACAAAATATGAAAATATTTTCTACTATTTTATATATATTAATATTTACAAGTTATTGTCCCATATGATTTAATATCAAGTTTACTGTTTACATAATCATTATCATCGGTATTAGTTGAATTCGAACAAGTCATATTCTTCACTTGAATTACACAATTGAATATACGATGATTACTTTCTTCAGAAATATATATATATATGGATGAGATGAAGCGTAACACGTTAGCTTCAATCTCAAAGGATATCTATTCATTTATAGCTTATACTATTTGACTCTTTGCTTACATGTGACACTAATTATTTGTTTACCTTATATTTCGTACATATATTTTTTCATTCTTTTCTCATCAAACAAAATTTCTTTGATTCTCTTCCACACTTCTAAAGAATACTTATCTATGCATCTTCATTCACTGTTCTCTACTTCAAACAAAATCACTCGACTTCTTTTTCATATACAAAATATTCTCAACATATAGATAATTCCATCTCACTCTACTTCCACTTAGACAATTCATCATCACAGAAAAAAACAATTATTAAAATTGATAAAAATATAATGTATGTTGTTATTATTTGACAATAGACATTCATTCATATGCTATGTATGTATAACCTTAAAGGTCATTGATGTGTATGTGTATTAGAATTCAAAATGTGTCAAAATTCATAAAACGTATAGAATTATGATTGATAAAAATTTTGTTCACATACATAGAAATCTAATCAATGTACTATACACGAATTGTTTAATTATACCGTTGATATGATAATTGAAACAAAACAAAATAAACAGATGTTTTTTGATAGAGCGTTGATATTTCATTAGAAAAATCTGATAACTAATTCTTTTGTATAATTCAGATTATTGTTCATGTCTGCTATTCTCTCTTCTATTATGATTATAGAGTAGTAAGAGAGAGAGAAACATCGATTTAATCTTAGATCATAATAAATGCATACGAATGATTAGCGTTATTATAATTGTCCAGACATGACTCAATTTTCGTCTTTCTTTCTCTCTCTATACGACTTCTTTTCTTGTAACATATAAATATTATACGCATACGATCAATTTCGTCTAGAATATCAACTAATTTTTACCACAATAGGTATATATATACACACGTATTGTTGATCACATTATGAATCGATAAAGATCAGCAGCAGCAGTAATAGCAGACTAAACATACAAATGACTGCTTACTCATATCTAATTGTAGTCATTGAGTAGTACTAACTATTTCATCCAATCGATATGTATATATATTCATTCATCTGAGAAAGAGCTAATAAGAGTTTCTATATCTTCGATGATTACGCCTACTAATGATCTCGTCTTCTTTTCCGTTCCGACCATTCATTCAAGGTTAAAAAGATTTCTTTTTTTTTAATATATATTCTAATGAAAAAAAGGAAAAGGAAGAAGTGGATCCTCTTAACACTCATACACATTGACAATATAACATAAATCACTTTTTTTCTCTTTTCTATCAACTATATATTTCAATCTAAATATTAAGATTATTATTGAATTAGTGATTGATTTCATCTATTTTACAATCAAATGATCAAGCCATATATATACATATAAACGTATGTGTCAAATAACAAGAAAAAGGATAATTATATTTTCTATTTTTATTATCGAATATTTGTCCTTGGATCTTTGTCATAAAATGAAAACTTATATTTCATTCTTTAGTTCAAAAAAGAAGAAGAAGAAAAGAAGATCGTATTATAATGAATACTAAAAAGGAATTATGATGTTTACTAGGTAACATGAGATACATTAGGTAGTTCGAAGTAGACACAAGCCAATTATGTTTGAACTTCAGTTTCGAAAAAATGTATGATACCTCTCGAGGCCGTAATGTCTATGTTAACATATTACATGCATACTATCAATAATTATTTTTCAATAACGCACTTGTTCGATGTGTGCGCTATGTATTGCATCATTTTTTTCTTCTCTCTACATATGTGTTCGTGAAAGAATGTCGATTAGTCTTTTTCCGTTGAGTTGACTTAGATGTGATGTGCGTGTTGAGACGAAGAACCTGTCGAATAGTTCATTTGGATAAGTGTATCTCAATCAGAATAGTAATCACTTTTTTTTCTCTCCTTTGGTTTTATAAATAGGACAGCTGTTGTTTGTTCACACCTGATGATTTAGTATATATATGAATCTGATTAGATCGAAACATTGACGATAATATATGATGGATGGATGAATAAATACTCTCGTAGTGTTGCAATCATACAGGTTTGTTCTGTAGTTGATCACTAGCATAACCAGGAAATTTAAGTGTATCTTTACGTAAGCGATCCTATCATATACTTGAACAAAGAAGCCCTTCATCTGTCTGTCCAAGAGAGAAAGAAATAAGGTACAAATTAATAAATATGTGTAAAGAATAACGATAGAGAAAGAAAGAAGATAAAATAATATTGCAAAACGTCTTATTCTTTCTCCTCGTTTATCGATAGAGAAGACGAAGAAGAAAAAGAATAAGAGAAACGACAGAAATTTTTTTTTTCTTCTTTCTTCTGATACAGTAAAAAAACGAACGAAGATTTTTCTGTTCAGTCTCAATCTCTGTAAGTAGAATAGAGCATGAAGACGACTCATGAGATTACATCATGAAGATCAAATCTATTTTTCATTTATATTTGTAAGTAGCCTAGAGTTTTATTCATCCATCTTCGACTATGTATCAGACAACTAAACCCATACACTATTTGTTTATATAATCATTGAGCGCATCCATACATCTTGCATTGATGAGTATTTAAGTGTGCTTAATATTTATTTCATTTTGCGTAATATATCAATATATATCTTCTATGATTGATAGTTAAAAGTGTGAATATATTTGAATATTTAATATAAAAATATCTTGCTATTGAATCTATTTTAATATTGTCAAGGTGTTTATTAGACATTCTATACAATTAAGTTATTTATTATTTCAATTGGTAAGACATACAAATATTGAATGATAACATCAATATACATGTTTTTTTTTCTTATCAATAATTGATATATATATGTATATACATATACAAATCATTTATTTTCAATATTTTTAGATATATAGTAATGTCTCTTTTATATATTATATTTATTATATATCTTGGTCAAGTTTCGTCGGATTTAATCTTGTCGGAATATGGTAAATCTATAGAAAGATTTTTCTGGCAAAACAATCAATTTTTATCTGTCTAATATTTAGAACAATGTAATGCATCATTAGGTATGGAGTCTGGCTTGATTGCTGATAGCGATTTGACCTCGAGTTCAACACATGATGTGAGCAGTGTTGGCCCTCAAATGGCAAGGTAAAATTATCGTCATTCAGTTTCATTTTTATTATTAAAAAGAATTTTGATCGATCAAAAATGACATCTGAGATCAAGTTAATTTGACATTTATTTTATTTAAAATAGGATTCGAACTGAATTAGAAGGAGGAGCATGGTGTCCAGATAAACCTATTGGTTCAAAATCATATGAATACATTCAAATAGAATTACATAAATTATTTTTTATAAATGCTATTGAAACACAAGGTCGATTTGATAATGGACAAGGAAATGAATATGCTGAATATTATCAAATTCAATATCAACGAGAAAATAATTCATCTTCTTGGATAAATTATTATGATAAAAAAACAAATAAAACTGTATGATTATTATTGTTCAATAAATTCTTATTATTTTTTTTAAATAGATTATCAAAGGAAATATAAATACATATTCACCAGAAAAACGTTTTCTTTCAGCACCAATCATAGCTAATCGTATTCGTATTATACCACATAGCTCACGTTGGCGAACTATTTGTATGCGACTTGAACTTTATGGATGTCCATTCTATGGTAAGAATATTAATATAAATTATAATCTCAACGAAATGCTTATTTTTCTCTTCTAGGTGGTATTATATCATATATAACTTCACCAAGTATAGATAAAGATAATATATATGATGGTAGATTTATATATTTATTTCATGGATTTATCTTCGTTTTTTTTTCTTCATTTTATTTAGGTGGATTAGGAAAATTAAGTGATGGTATTATTGGAAGTGATGAAAATACTTGGATTGCTTGGAATAAATCACCTATTTCAATTCAATTTAATTTTGATACATTTCGTCAATTTAAAATTATTCGAATTTATTCAATGAATAATAAATATCGTTCAATTCAAATTAAATTTGATAATAATCCACCAATAATACATAAAATATCATCAATATCAACATTATTATCAACTGTATTTGTTGATACAATACAATTAATTGATTATAATACAATAACAATTGCAAAAAAAATTGAAATTTTATTCGAATTTGATAATGAATTTTTATTTTTAACTGAAATTAAATTTGAAAATGAACCAACAATGATTGTTGATACAACAGTGACAAGTATTACGACAACTACTTGTGAAACACGTAAGTCAATTTTATGTATAGAACAAAAAAAGAACAACGACAATATTTTTCTGGTGTAAGGTCAGCTTTATAAGAATTTATCCTTGATAGAATATCAGATTCCTTTTTTATCAATCGATCATTCTTTGATAAGAGATAAACATTTGACCTTTTTTTCCCCTGAGCATATTCATCTAAAACATACCACGTTTACAGTGAACTTCGGGACCTAACATATCTTGTAGAGATTTTTTTTTCTAATTAAAATGTATATATTTTAAAACGTTTCATTCGTGTGCGACTTGAAATAAACTTAAAATAATCGATTTTAGCATCGATTGAGCGTTTTAATCTGAAAAGAGATTCTCTAAACAGCGGCCGATCTAGGATTTTGGAAGGGAGGTGATCGCTCCGCCTAAATCCGCCACTGGTCTCTAGAAGATATACTAAATCCCATCGCTGACACGGAACTTTTTTGTATAAAGTGCTATATTCCAGATGAATATGCTCCCATGTTGAATAATATCTAATATATATATATATTTATTTAGCATGTCTAGTATCTCATAATAATTTAACATTAATATCATCATCATCACCACCATTATCATCATCGTCATCGTCAATCTATACATTCGAATGGTTAACAATATTAATAATATCAATATTATGTCTTTGTTTTCTTCTTCTGTTTATTCTTATTATACTTCGTATTCGTCATCGTTATTTACATAAAAAAGCAAATCTTTATTATAAATGTTCTCAATTAATAAATTCAACAAATGATTCATCAACTGAAAAAAGTCAAAATCAAACACTTCGAAAAAATAATTATGATGATATTAAACCTATTGATTCATATCTTTATCCAATAACTTCAACATCATCATTATTACATCCAAGTTCACCATCATCATTATTAAAAAGTGAACAATATGCTGTTATCGATGGAAATACTTATTCACATTTACCATCGAATAATGTACAAAAAAAACCACTTTAAATTTTAATCATTTTTTCTTTGTTGATTTTAGACATTTCATTATGCTTCATTAGATATTGGACAAATACCTACGAAAATGGTTGATCTATTTAATTGTATTGCATTACAAGAAACTACTCCATCGAAATGTAATGATTCATTTCCCTCATGTATTGATGAATCAAAATTATTTACATTATGTAAAATTGCTGAATCAAAATACGGAGAAATTATACTTGGAAAATATGCATCAAAACCTGTTTTGATAAAAATAATTAAAAAAAATTTCGTTAACCCAATGCGGTAAAACAAAAAAACAAATTTTTCAATTATGCAACGTTTTTTTTATTTTTAGACAAGAATTTTTATCAGAATTAAATATTTTATCTCGTTTAAATCATTCTAATATTGCATGTTTATGTGCAATACAACTTGATTTACTTTGTCTTATACAAGAACATTCAGATTTTGGTACTTTACAAAATTATTTTCGTACACAAGTTAATGATGTAACATTTCAAAAGTAAAAAATTTCTATTTTTAAACTAAAAAAACAACATATTATTCATTCTAGAAAGAATATTTATTTTTCTCATCAATTATCAAATGCGTTGGAATATTTATCTGATTTAAATATAATTCATAGTGATATTGCAACAAGAAATTGTCTCTTTTTTCCTGATTATACAATTAAATTAACAGATTGTGCAATTGCTTTATCACAATATGAAAAAGAATATTGGTTATGTGCTCATGGAGAAAAAATACCACTTAGATGGATTGCTCCAGAAGCTTTAATAGTAATAAAAAGGTTTCCTTTTTTTTTAATCAAATTTAATGTTAAACTTCTTTTTAGAATAATGCAACATTAAAATCTGATATTTATTCATTTGCTATAACATTATGGGAATTTTGGTCTCGATGTTCAAATTTACCACATATGACATTAACAAATGAAGATTTTTATCAATATTTAATTATGCGACAATCATCACATAATGCAGATAATTCTAATGTATCGATATTTCGTTTATCACAACCAACTGATTGTCCAAAAGAAATCTATGATTTATTATGTGAATGTTGGCATATTGATGGAACTAAACGTCCAAATATATCGGATATTGCACTTTATTTTCGACGTCAAATAAATATATCATAATAATAATAATTCAAGTATTATTTTCATCACGACAGTGAAAGTCTTTTCTAGATTGCAATGATATCTTTTTTTTTCTTAGGTTGTTGTTGTTGTTGTTTTTTATTTGTACATATATATTTAGTAAATCTTTTGCATGAAAAAAAAAACGAATACTTTTATTGTAAAGATAAACTTAATCTAATCTACACGAGAAAGCATTATATATATTTACAGTTCCGTACTTGGTTCTAATATTTGAGAATGTTGTGATCTTGGATTAGATGATGATAAATAACTTAAATTTTCATTTCCTACTAATGTATTTTTACCAGCAAATAATAATGCTGGATTAGCATCACTAAAATGTGTACGTGGTCGATGATAATATCGAACATATTCTTCATAGATTTGTCGAATACGTTTTCCAGTTGGATCAATAAATTCTTTTTTCATTGTATTTCCTGTTGGACGTATTTCTCTCATTAATTGATGATTAGCTGTTAGATCATACCATTCATTACGAATATATACAGAACAATCACGTAAACATGACCAACGATTTGGACAACAGGGAAAACAGCCACAGCACCAAAATGTTGTACAAGCTTGACGAGATGAATCTCGTATTGAACGCATTAGAAAAAATGAAAGCCATGGATTTATAGCACGATTTATTAAACGAAGAATAATTAAAGGTATATCAATTGCATATAATATATTCATTGAACTTAAATTTAAATATATTGACGGATGATAAATACGTACCAAACGATAAATATAATATGGTAATTGACAAATTATAAATATAATTACATATAAAACAACCTAAAATTAAAGAAATCTCATTGATTTAAAAGTTTAACTATCGACATTTAATAAATACAGAAGATCCTTTTTTTTTATCTAAATGTAATCGTCTGATAAAAAAGAAGAAGAAAGAAACGTCTATTCTATATTAATAGATATTTAACCTTTAGAAGAAATTTTATTGTTAAGACTAGGTAATAAAATCATTTGATTAATAGAACTTCATCAATCATTCTAATTGAAAAAGAAATACATCTATTGATCTCACTCTCTCTCGCTCTCTAATCGACATCTGACATTGAAATATAACATACCATTTTTATTAAATTAGGATGTTCATCATCATAAGTTCTTAAATCAAAATTTTTATATGTATTTATATCTAATTCAGTAAGATTTGTATTCATATTATTTTTATATTTATCTTTTTTTGCTTTTCGATAAATAAAATAACGTATAACTAATAATAAAATCATTAAAAATATTGGTAATGCATTGCCAAATATAAAATCAAGTAAATAAATTGTTTTAATTGGTGATTGTACATTTTGTAAATCTAACCAAGTTAGCTCATTTATTTGTGTTCCATTTGTCATACATTCATATGAACCATAATTAAATGATATTAATTGTTGATTAAAAAATAATATTGGTATTAAAGCATAACAAACAGCTAACCAAAGTGATACTAATATACATATACCAGTTATAAAACGACGTATACCATAACAACATTGTTTTCTTTTAACACAACGATCAAAACATAGAAATACAATTGTATAAGCAAGAAGAAAATCCATTATACGTAATATATACAATTCTGATTTACACCATGAATCATTTAACCATTTACCATTATTTAAAGCAAAATGTTCACCTAAATCAGCATAAGATACCATTTTAACAATATAAAATATTGATGACCATATTGTTCCTTCAATAAT